AAGTTCTTCTTTGTACAAGCAGTTAGGTCCTCAGATTACCTCACTTTCGCGGTTCCCCAACAAGTAACCAAAGTACTGCAGTTTCATAAGCAGCAGTTCTGACGCCTTCCTAGTTGTGATCCTGAACTCAAAGGCCTCTTCACTGGTTTAGTTTCTACACCGTGTTTCTGCTTTTTTTCCACTGTTATGATATTAGGATTGGATAACGAGAGAAGATTAGTGAGCGAGAAGCGGCAGGGTACCGCCTTGCTGGTATGAAACAGAGCAGGCTCGGAAAGCTCATTTAGACAGGCTACCAGGTTCTCACTTATGGTTAGGGTGTTCCCACGATTTTTTTCTCCTTCCTTGGAAATACATTTAGCGGCTCTTTGAAATTATCACGCAAAGCACTACAATACCGCTCCTAATTTCTGGTCAATCGACGGTTTGCGACAGATTTTTCCGTCGCAAACCGTCGTTTTGCCATAACTCCTGTAGAAATGGTCCAAATGACATGCGAGTTTGACCAACGGATAGCCCTGTACAAGACGAATCCAATGATGTACGGAGCTTCCACTTTCCTCCAATTTTTTGACGTTTTTCTCTATGAAATTGAGGTTTGAGTCTCCAGTAACCTAAGGTGTCACCTGCGGACACGGCTGCGTCGTAAACCCTCCAGTCCAATTGTGAACTTCAAACCAAGTGCCACAAAGCTATAAATACCAGCATATTCAGAAAGAGCATGATTCCGTGATCATTTTGATACTTTTCATGACAGGGTTTCAGCAAGGTTCAGCTGAAAATCATGGTTCACTGACCACTCTTTCCTTGATTTCCGGTTTGAATCGTCTTGAGGATCAGTATCTGACTTATGATCCTGGAAAGCTCTTATCGGCTCCATATAATATGATGAATGGCTTGGAAGTACAATACCCGCCGCCGTAATTTTTGAAAAAAAAACGAAAAAACGCAGATCCGCGTTTTTTTTGCTATAACTCAATTTGTGTGAGCTTTTCTCAAATAGAACCCTATACTGTTAGACTCAGCTCGTCGATTGCAGTAGGCTGGCATCCTAAAAAACTAAAAAAGTCGAAAATTGAACTGTGCTTCCTATCGAAGTACCTGAGGACACTCGTTAGCGAGCGAGTCTCGCTATGATTGTAACCAGAGGGTAAACGTTGGGAATTAAATCATTGTGGAATCAAATAACGTACTGTCGCGTGAGAAGTGATTAAAAACTAGATAGTTGTGTTTCCCAAATGCTGCTGATCATTTTGGTGCCAATTTTCCTGAAAATTGAGGGGTTTCGCTCGATGTCACTTCCGGACGATATAGCCTTTTCAGTCCGGAAAATCTCGAGCTGTGGTTCAGTTCGGACCACACGAGCACAACGTGCCTAATGTATGGAGCCCTGTTTTCCCTAATGTTCGCGAATTTCAAGAATGAAGTCAAAAAGAAGGGTTTTTTCAACTACTTGAAATGGGCACTTCGTGCGATACTAGAACAAATGCTCGATTTTCAGCGTTTTCAAACAGGATTTCCGGCGCTCTGAGTGGCCCCAGATGTTCCATAAAAAAGCCACCCACAGAACGTTCTGTGCTTTTCAACAACTTGGTGGAAACAGTGGCATATTTCAGACTGGTTGTTGTTATCGGGTGCCAACTTCAAGACCATTTCAAAGCAAAATTTACGCTTTTTTCCAAAGGAAGAAAATCCCAGTCAAAGCTACACCATTCGAATCCCCATGAAAAATTCTATCTATTCATGTAAAAATTACCTCATAGAACTTCCTACAACCTTTCGCAGTTTTCCCCGGCTATCTGTCCTGTCAGCGGTCAATCGACCTCCTAAGTAGCTATCCCACCGAAGTGTCACGGCTCTGTATTGATTAGTCTAAATAATTTCGTACACCAAGTGATCTTCTATTTCGCAGGTGGTTCATGAGGACTGCCGTGCTAGAAAATGTTTCTCTTAGTTCAAATTTTAATTTTCATCGAATTTTCAAAAATTTCGTACTTCGAATTACAAACTTCCCCATCATTAATTAATGTTCGTTTTCTTGGAAAACCTTGCGTAATAGAACTAACGATACGGCAGATTTTTCTAGGCCCCACTGCTTTAAGCAACTGATTCCGCTATAAGACCATGCAGAGCTCAAAAATCCTTGACTGTTACCGTGAACTTGAAAGAATCATGGCGAACATTTTGAAGAATAGTTTATTCGAGCCTCGTAATGGGACCCTTTCCATTCAAACAAGTTGTAAAATCTGAAGCACATTCGGCTCGTAATCAGTTGACGATGTCGAAAAAGGTCCTAAGGTAATAAGCGCAGGTATCGCCGAGGACGGCAGCTGCGATCGGAGGCCTTCATTCAAACGATAACGATGGAGAAAGCAACTATTACATTGCATTTGTGTATTGTATGAAAATAGTAGGTGCCCAGAATAACTTGTGAACCCAGAACTATTGCGATTCCCGGAAATCCAAAGCTGTTGAACAGTTAATATTCCTGCACATCGTGAAACCATGCGATTGTCATCAAGTACAAGAATTCAGTTGAACGATTCTTAGTAACTCTTCGTGTGCTGTTGGATCATGGAGAGTTACTAAGAACACAAATATTAATCAGTGGTGGAGGAGTTTGTAATTAAAGTACGAAATTTTTGAAAATTTGATGAAAACTCAAATTTGAAATAAGAAAAAATTTTCTAGAACGGCAGTCCTTATGAACCTTCTGCGAAACAGTGAACCACGTTGGTAGAAGAAATTACTGAGACTGATCAATACAGAGACTGATCAATGCCCTGACACTTTGGTGGGATAATTACTTAGGAGGTCGATTGACCGCTGACAGGGCAGATAGCCGGGAAAACTGCGAAAGGTTGTAGAAAGTTCCACGAGGTGATTTTCATATGAATAGATAGCATTTTTTCATGGGGATTCGAATGGTGTAACTTTGACTGGGATTTTCTTTCTATGAAAAACATGTGAAATTTGCTTTGAAATGGTCTTGAAGTTGGCACCCCATAACAACTGCCAGCCTGAAATATGCCGCTGTTTTCCCCTAAATTGTTGAAAGCACATGACGTACTGTATAAGGCTTCCCTACGGAACTCGTGGAGCCACTCAGAGCGCTGGAAATCCTGTTTGAAAACGCTGAAAATCGAGCATTTGTTCTAGTATCGCACGAAGTGCCCATTTCAAGTAGTTGAAAAAACCCTTCTTTTTGACTTCATTCTTGAAATTCGCGAACATTAGGGAAAACAGGGCTCCATACATTAGGCACGTTGTGCTCGTGTGGTCCGAACTGAACCACAGCTCGAGATTTTCCGGACTGAAAAGGCTATATCGTCCGGAAGTGACATCGAGCGAAACCCCTCAATTTTCAGGAAAATTGGCACCAAAATGATCAGCAGCATTTGGGAAACACAACTATCTAATTTTTAATCACTTCTTACGCGATACAGCACGTTATTTGAGTCCTGAATGATTTAATTCCCAACGATTACCCTCTGGTTACAATCATAGCGAGACTCGCTCGCTAACGAGTGTCCTCAGGTACTTCGGTAGGAAGCACAGTTCAATTTTCGACTTTTTTAGTTTTTTAGGATGCCAGCCTACTGCAATCGACGAGCTGAGTCTAACAGTATAGGGTTCTATTTGAGAAAAGCTCACACAAATTGAGTTATAGCAAAAAAAAACGCGGATCTGCGTTTTTTTTTTTTTTTTCCAAAAATTACGGCGGGTGTCGTACTTCCAAGCCATTCAATATCATATGGAGCCCATAAGAGCTTTCCAAGATCATAAGTCAGATACTGATCCTCAAGACGATTCAAACCGGAAATCAAGGAAAGAGTGGTCAGTGAACCATGATTTTCAGCTGAACCTTGCTGAAACCCTGTCATGAAAAGTATCAAAATGATCACGGAATCATGCTCTTTCTGAATATGCTGGTATTTATAGCTTTGTGGCACTTGGTTTGAAGTTCACAATTGGACTGGAGGGTTTACGACGCAGCCGTGTCCGCAGGTGACACTTTAGGTTACTGGAGACTCAAACCTCAATTTCCTTGGAGAAAAACGTCAAAAAATTGGAGGAAAGTGGAAGCTCCATACATCATTGGATTCGTCTTGTACAGGGCTATCGAATGGTCTGAATTTCAGATCATTTGGACCACTTCTACAGAAGTTATGGCAAAACGACGGTTTGCGACGGAAAAATCTGTCGCAAACCGTCGATTGACCAGAAATTAGGAGCGGTATTGTATTTAATGTGTTTACGTGATAGTATCTAGAAAAGTATCAGTATTAGCATTAGCATTGCTTCTAATAAGAGATGCAGGGAATTTATGGGAATATCAGTGATGGAGAAGGTGGTGTAGTGACAAGTGGCGCGCTTACCACTCGCGCGGTCCTGGGTTCGAATCCCGGGTCGACTCCCGCCCAGGCCAACCAAGCCTTCTACCCTCCGGGGACGGTGAATTGGAACCAACTGTACTCGACTGGCTCCTGAAAGTCATTGTATAGGCCTTATCGCATTCAATAAGCCACTACGATTGTGAAGTGGAATGCGTGCCGCATCCCACAAAGGGATTGATCAACGGCGAAGACTTTATCCTTTATCCTTTATCATTGGTGAAGAGGTAACAACTAGTAGCGGCAGATGAGAAGCGTTGTCGCCACACTTGTACTTCAAGGCTGTACAGTTTTAATACTCCCAACTCATAAAAGTTTGGTGATAGGGACGTTGGTGACAGGTGACAAATAATGATCTGGGTGATACGTGGGTCGCGCGGGCGGATGCGGTTGAGGGGCATAGATGGTGCATCAGAAACCGGAAAATCCAGCACTCAAAAAATTTATGCGCTAGATACGCTCCCTGTCGTGTTTTGAAAGAAAAGATAATGTTTTAGCCAGGTGGTGGTAAGCTACACCCTAAGTTTTTTATCTCTTTATGGAAATTATTGCGCACCGTCGAAATCTGACGCTGCCCGGACAGTTGCACCAAGATGTTTCACCGTAATGGAACATCGCCAAAATACTTATAAGGTATGAGATTCTTGCAGACCGATGGAAGCTGGTATAATGGCGTACATACGTAGATAGCCACCACTGAATGAGGGATGCTCGCTTTTTAGATGTTTTTATTTGGAATTCATGGACAGGAAAAGAGTTTCCTTTCTGAGAAGCGGAGGATTTTTTTGTAGATCTCTCATCCGTAAGCCCGCTTATTATTCTAAATGTTCTATATTTCTCTTGGTAGTTTTCGGTCCTGATATTTCCGCCCCTATTGCTCATTCTCTTAAAGTTTGGAAAGGACACAAATTTCTGGCTAATAATTTATTCAGAAATCAACGGAGCGACTCAACTTGAAAATGGGTAAAAGTATTGTGTTCGACGAGATCGCCGCACTGGCAAATCAGCGGATATTATTAATTGACGGAGCGATGGGCACGATGATTCAACGAGAGCATTTAGAGGAGCACGACTTCAGGGGGAAGGTAAGTCTGGAATTTTCTTCATTTCGTCCTATCTTTGGTTATAACTTCTCCACTGCCTTTTTCATGTGCCTTAAAGACACATGGTACGCTCAAACACATTGAGGGTGTATGAGACTATCAGCCCCCCAGCTGTCGATGTGTCGTGGTCCCCCCGCCCAAACATGCCCAGGAATGGAGATACAGGACCGTGAAACACGCTAATTCCTCCATGCTCCGCCTTACACCTTTTTGCGGCGCAGATTCCCGTTTCATAACATCCGTCGTAAGCGCGCGTGTCGCGTGCGGCTCCTTGGCACTTTGCCAAGTCCTTTAATTGCGCTCTCAAATACAAGTAAACGCAATTTCCTGATGCGGATAACATTGGAGGTGCTGCAAAATAAGAACAGAAGATGATGACGAGGGTCAGAACTCAAAAGCAACTGTGCCACTTCTGCAACATCCCTCGGAGGCCGCGTATTTCCACGAAACATGAAAATAAAAACAGCCCAAGCGTCCCACTCGTTTGTTCTAAGTATTTCTATGGCTTTGGCGCCGGATCGTAGAAATTTACAGGCCGAGTTTATCTAATTTGCCTTTCCTTGATTTTTTCATTTTTGTTTTATTTACATTTACATCGTTGTGCTTCATTTCTAGCCTGTGTCATCTTCATCTCCTTGTACATGGATTTTGAAGCATGAGCAACACCTAAAATTTTATTCGCATCAGGAAATTGCGTTTTGCTTGTATCAAACTAACGAGTATGCCGTTTTTATTTTCATGTTTCGTGGAAATACGCGGCCTCCGAGGGATGTTGCAGAAGTGGCACAGTTGCTTTTAAGTTCTGACCCTCGTCATCATCTTCTGTTCTTATTTTGCAGCACCTCCAATGTTATCCGCATCAGGAAATTGCGTTTTACTTGTATTTGAGAGCGCAATTAAAGGACTTGGCAAAGTGCCAAGGAGCCGCACGCGACACGCGCGCTTACGACGGATGTTATGAAGGACGGGAATCTGCGCCGCAAAAGGCATTGGGCGGAGCATGGAGGAACTAGCGTGTTTCACGGTCCTGTATCTCCATTCCTGCGCATGTTTGAACGGGGAAACCGCTATGCTTCGACAGCTGGGGGGCTGCTAGTCACATACACCCTCAATGTGTGTGAGCGTACTATGTGTCTTTAAGCGCACTCTAGGATCTGTAGGTTCTTGTCTATTTCTAGGGCCAGCTGAACCAGTCATGAAAGCACATCATTAAGTAGACTATTCTTGCTTTCGCCTTGGTCTGTCAGTAGACATGTCCTAGTCAAATCCCATTCACTTTGTCCATTTATTTGACTGCGGATGAGAAGTCAACAGTTAGTGGAGGCAGTCGAGCTCACGCTACGAGCAAGTACCCTCACTCTTCTCTACAGCACTCTTACAGTTTCATCTCCGTACACGGAGCTATGTAGCTAAGGCTACCCCTAGTCTTATCCCCTCACGACGAGAGACATCTGAAACCATGAAACTATGGGTTTGTACTTTATGCAATACCAGGTGAATTGCAGGTCCTTGAAAAACACTCCAAGCCACTGAAGGGGAACAATGATCTGTTGTCTATCACACGACAGGATATTATCTATAAGGTCTGTGGATGACATGACATTTTCAACTTTCCTTTCTTTTCTTTCTATGTGTGGATAGGTTCAAATATTTGCCGTAGGTCTTCCGTTCTAAACTAAAATGGGAAAGAGCGTCGAAAATGTATGTCCTGGTCTGGCTATGCGCTGTGTTGACTGGGAAAAGGTGCTATGCTGCTTTAGACAGCTTACAGATGGAGAATAGAATACAAATATTAGGTTCGCGTGAAAGTTCCGTCATGTTTTTCAAATCTGCCTTCTCCCTATTGAGAAGCGTATAATATCAAACGTATACAGCACTATTATTGCGGGGTCCCTGTCAGTTTACGAACACCGAAACCAGCAGTTGGAATGAGCTATGTCTGGGTCATGTCGGTGCCGAAGGAGAGCCATCGAGCTACTATACTGCATGAAAGCGGCTTGTACCGAACTGCTGTGTGGTAGTGTCGTATTGAAAGCAGACCGTGCGGACGAATAACTCTCGATCTTCGACTGGCTTCCGATCACGATTCTTCCTGTGCGTAGAGATAGATGTGATAGTAGCCGACCCGTTCTAGCAGTTTTACAAGCCTAGTTCCCTCAACTCGATTCAGTTGGACATACAGATCCCATTGCGTCTTCAAAGATGAAGCGTCTATTTGAAGCGTTGCTGTGTTGGAAGATTGGCCAGTAGGGGATTGGAGGCGTGGTCCCTCCACATCTCATCATTTTCCCTCGGCACCTCTAACGCTTGACCCATGATGAGCCAAGTTTTGAGGGTTCTGTGCTGACGCTACGGGACGGAGTTGTTGTTCATATCGCTAGGGAAGAAGGGATAAATAAGAAGTGACTGGTACTGATAGAGTTTTGTTTTAGCTTGGGTATTTTTACTCACATTAACTATGACATCTTCTCAGTCAAAGAGCGAGTATTTCAAATTCAAAAACACATAGCAGGCACTGTTCACCCATTGCTGGTGTAAGGCATTCTTGCCTAGCTTTCTAAATTGTTCACGGGTGCCATGTGGCTTGAGTTTGTTTGTAGAATAGCCGAGCCCTCTTCATGAATGCCTCATTCGTCTGGCACGAAACTTATTGGCGGCACCAAATTTTCGGAGACTGGTTCATAGAATACTCTGAAAATTCTGTGAATGCGATGAGTTCAAGTGAAATTCGTTCGTGTTCAAGGAGCCAACTGTTGTTGTTGGCGTGTTTTTTATCAAACTTAGTTCTGCGAGGTTTTTTTTGCGTCGCGACTAGGCGTGGGTTCCATGCGCCCACGTCACACCTTTTTCGGATACAAAGGTACTACGGCTTGAAAAGCCTGGGTTGAAAATTTCATTTCAACTGTAGACTTAACGACGCTGTTATGTCCGCGCCTCCATAGATATTTTGAGATCCAAAGTATTTATACCTCAGTATTTGTGAGCATGGGGCCGCAAACTGGAAGAAAATGGGAGCTTCTCAGATCATTGGATTCGCATGAGCAGGGCCATCGAGCTGTCTAATGTAAATATCATTTTGACAGCATTTATAGAAGCTATGGCCAAGTGACAGTTTAACGGACTGATCCGCGAAACACAAATCGGGATGTTGTTGTAGGTATGAAACCTGCCCTCGGTCGAAACTTAGTATGTCATTCAGCGTTCTTGTTATACAGACTGAAATAGTTCTATTTCAGATCCATACATTGTACTTAGAGGCAGGTGCTGATTTCATCGAGACTAACACATTTTCTGGGACCACCATAGCTCAAGCCGATTATGAAACCGAACATCTTGTCCATGAAATCAACTATCAGTCGGCCGTTATTGCCAGAAGAGCATGCGATGATTTCGAAAGAAGTACAGGTGGAGATATTTATTCAGTGTGACCCCCTAAGCAGTATGTTTTGTTTTTTGTTTCTGCCGCAAAAGTGTTGACATTTTTTGAGATGAGCTAGGCCGCGACTCACTCCTTTTTCGTTGGTGAGCGTGTTGTGATTAAAAGAGTGCGCGGACGTCCACAAGGTCCATTTGTGGATGTGGGCCCGTCTCATCCAAGACCTAATCTTGAAGCAACTCACCACAGAGGCGGAAAGTGCCGGGTAGTTGTCGCTTGATTCGCCACAGGAGCTTACAGTGACCACAAATTCCTGGTGCTTCAGCCTTGGAACTTCGTAACAGCGCTGAATTAGGAAGTGGACCCATAAATGTTTTCTTCACCTTCTAACTCTGGACTTCGCCTTCGAGAGAAAGAGGTTCACCATTGAGTTCTGTGGTGTTTAAGCACTCTTTGACCCATAAGATAGTGCACCTCATTGTTTTTTGAGTTACATTTCCATTAATGTGAAAATTCTGTTTGCATTATCGCAAGAATGCTGAGATATTGACAAAAGTCGAACCCGGACACATTTACATTCCCGTTTAGTTTTAAATGTTTAAAAAAGAGTGTCAAATCAGCGAGGCACTTTCGAAACCGTCTCCTTTTGCTTTTAATCGAAAATGTGAAACAGCAGAGGCCTATTTGATAAGAATATGGTCAAGGAGCAATGTCCCTTAGGAAGGCACAGAACAATTGAAGCGATTCAAAGGTTTCGAGTTCCGCCTCACAGGCAACCATAGCACCAGATGCCTTTTCGAATTCGACGGGTAGCTTTGTGAATCAACTTATTCATGAAGATCCCTGTTAGATTCAACAGGGCATCAAAAATGGGGAACTATTAGATGCCATGGCTATCCACCACCTTCTTATTGAGCATTATCTTCATTTGATTTGGGAGGTCCAAAACTTGTGGATGACAGACAGTCGCTGCCAGGACATATCGTTGGTTGGGGATTTTGGTCGAGTCTGTGCGAGCCGCTCGTTTTTCAAGGGGATGGTGTGACCCACCCTGGTTTACTTCTCATCGAGCCGTCTAGAGAAAGGGGAGGGCAGCGGTGGGGAGGGGGGGGGGGATAAATAGCTCTTGTGAAACAGGAAAAGCAACGAAACGTCAACAGTCTCTATCTAAATGTCGGAGGGGAAAAACGACCCCCTCCTTCCAACAACGAGTGAATACGCCCCCCCCCCACCTTCACAACGTCCCTGGCGCACGAGGATTTAACTGAAAAAAAGCCCAAATACAACCCATCTTGTTGGGGAATCCCCATCAACGATCTGCCCTGGTCGCTCTCCGAGAAGGCGACCCATGCGATGTGTACCGGTGTCTCAGGTCGAAAATACAGATATGGACGGACAGGACCGATCGTACCAGTAGCAACACGTTCGGAAGCAATAGTTTATTAACAAAACGCAACAAACAATGACGAAATATTGTGTTCAGAACAAAAACGTACAATCGTCGTAGACAATCAATAATGAAAACTGCCAGAAGGGGAAGCCCAAAATGAGGCGTAACAGCCCTTGGACTGATGCAAGGCGACGACTGAGGATAAGACCCCGAGGGTCCTCCTGTGGCTTTTTTATGCGGGGGGTTTCCGCCCAAAAAGGCGCCTCTTAGGCGGTCGATCAGCCGCTGATCTGTCGGGGCGAAATCGACCCCCCCCACTCCACAATGTACAGGGGGGGCCAAAAAAAAGTCATTTCGGCCGAGCCACATATCAACGAAGTTTTCGCAGCCCAGACAGGGGAAGTGGATATGAGTACCAGAGTGGAAGATACCCAAGATCTTCCTCTATAAGCTGGAGCAGGCTGCCGCCAATCGCCTTCATGTACGCCAAAATATGAAGTCATCTCCAGTCGCGGCCTGACTGGAGAACACCTTTGGAATTCACGTCGCCTCCAAACAGCTGCGAAACTTCTTGAATGAAGTCATCCACAGATAGCTACCTGGAGGTCAGTACTCTTGATCTGCAAGACCTCCCACATCGAGCAGCTACGGCAACGTCGCTACGGTCTAGGACATCATCTTCACCGTATTCGCCGAGGCGCGAGTTGATGGTATGGACCGGGGTACCTGGAAAGGGGAAGACCGATATTTTCTTTGTAGACCCCGACTGAAGGTGAGCGCTGGCGGTTACATCAAGTAACTCGAGAAGAATATCCTCCCTACATGTGGTCGCCCGTACCTTCTTGGAGACCTTGTGCTGCTACAGGTTTGGGTGCCACCACATGGAATCGAAGGGTTTTGGAAAAACTCCCGCCTACTTCGAATGGAAGGGCGTTTCGTACCTGAAGAAGATGTAATATTGAAGTATGTCCCCTGACCTGAACCCACTCAATTACCTAGTTCGGGCGGACTTCAAGAGGGTGGTCTACGGTGGCGGAGAAATCGACTACCCCGCTGATCTCAGGCACCACATCGCGGTCGCGTGCCAGAATCTCTCGATGGCGCTCCTCCAGAAGGCTGTGGCGGAGTATCATTATAGTATTTAATGTGCTCTTTAATATGGTAGTAAAAATGTCCGATAAAAATTTAATAAAGTGTAACTTATAGCGCCTTGAAAGTCATGGAGGCAAAATGACTTTTTTTTGGCCCCCCCCCCTGTACAATGTACATTTACAAGGTCTATGTAATTCCAACCTATTAATCACTTGAGTATTGATTCCCGCATCGTGCTTCCAACAACATCTACCCGGCAGTTAGGTTTCCAGGTAGTCCCAGGGTTTTCAGTTAGACTACTGTTCACCACGTGTTTGTGAGGTTTTCGCTGTCTCTCGAGGAGGCATCTAAAGATCCACATCTTCTGCGCATTCGGTCAAATCGAGAAGTTATGGCGACTATGCGTTGGCAACGATTGTTTTCCTACGCAAAAGGGGCAGAGTCACTAAAAAATATCCAAGATATCTTAACGGTATTCATTTGCCCTTAATTCCTGCATTCGGGTTTCCTGCTGACTGTTTTGCCAATCCTGGAGTCGACTTCGGGGTAGCTGACGTGGTAAGGTTTCGCGGAGATAGGGCGTCAAAAGGCAATGTTCCTTCGTGAATCGGTGCAACGGCGCACTCTTGGCCCGATATAAGCGCGGTAGATGGTATTTTCCGTCTACTCTTATTCGGTTATTCAGTAAGCACTTATTTTGGGGTTCATAGCCATTACCTCCGCATACCAGGTAGGTAACAGGATCCTGCGAACACTAGAGACCTCGCAAATAGTAAAGGTATAGACTCGAATTGGTTTACCCTCAATGTTTCTGTTTATTAAGGAAAACGCTGTTTTGTTTGTGGAGCAATTGGACCAACCAACAAAACTCTGTCGATATCGCCATCAGTGGAAAAACCGGAAATGCGGAATATCAGTGAGTTTACATTGAATGGCTGACAATGATATGGTGATGGGTGATACAACACCATCGGTTCTCGTAACAAGCACAGAGAGCGGAACCATGTAGAGCTGCAAAAAAAAACTTGGAACAAGCTACAAAATCGACTTCAAACAGTTCTAAAGCTCTTATTCAACAAACAGTGGAAAGGTAAACAGATAGCGAGAATTCAACAAGAAAAAACTATGCGACGCTTTGAATTTGGTTTCGCTTATTACTGGACTTGATTAAAACCTTTATCATGTGTGCAATCGACTCGCAGGATCTTTAGGGGTATCCATGGATATTCGCCTCCAAATTCCTTGATATCCGTGGAACTGCTCACTCGTGTTGGTGGCCTTCTTCCTTTCGACTCATGCTCAAGTCGTATCAAAAAATGCCTGATGGTGTCGCGGTGAAGGCCTTTATTCGGTTATTTTGTCATCCCGATGCTGACCTTGGGTGCCGGAACCTAGATCTCACGTACTTTTGTGTTTGCTTAGGGTCGTTTTTACTGTCACTTTCTGGAAACAGTTCTCCCGGACATTCTTTCTCTATGATCACAATATTTCAGTACACATGCCAAGGAAAATCAAAAAATACTTTTTTAGAAAATTCCAGTTATTCGGCTTGTTCCAAGTATTTTTTCCGCAGCTGTATGTGAAACAATAGGTCATTCCTCTTTGTCGGAAACGGACACGTGGGAGACTGGAGAAAAGAGTGGAGTCAGAAGGCACGGCCCGAGAGGGGTTAGAAGAAAATCACAACTCATGTTCGATTAGCGTCGACGCTTTTTGAAGTGGTATTCAACGGTTCGAAGTCGCAGGCAGTGAGATCAGAATTAAATTTGTAGTACCCTGTGCCGAGTTTCCGCACCAATTATTTATTTATTTATTTATTTATTTATTTATTACCAGTCAAATCGGCCGGCTTAGCCGGCCGATCCTCCTTCCGGGTGGGTGTGAAGGGGTCCCGGTGAGAAGTTTCCATGAGAGGGAGGGCCAGTCGGATCGGCCGGCTTCGCCGGCGAATGGTCGAAAAAAAAATTGTTTTGAGAATTACCGCACTTTACCGTTTCACTGCTTGTATATACCCCCCCCCCCCGTCCCCTAGAAGACAGTCATCAAAATTTTCTATACCGCAATCCCGTGACTGATGAGGAAGCGCAGAATAAACGGCACCAACCATTTGGGAGTTTTTCAGATGTGTTTTGGGGGTTTTTGTCCCCGGCACCGTGCGGGTGTGCTTCATTCATTCCGTCCGCCAACTGTTTGCCTATCGTTTCCCACAATTTCCGCTCTCCGGGATCTTCTGGAACCGAATTACGAATTTTTGAAAGTTGTGTAGCGAGCACCGCCCACCTATAGCACGCCTCGCCATCACGGGTGTGACTCCCTCATTTCATCCGCCAACTGACTGCTTATCGTTTCCACAATTTCCGCTCTCCGGGATCTTCTAGAACCGAACTACGAATTTTTGAACTATGTAGCTCACAACTGTGCGCATGCCCCGCCCACAGTGGGCGGGGCTTAGCTCAGTTCATGTGTGTTCCGTACATCTTGACCCATGCCCTACCCAACCCACCCTTGACCCGCCCCCTCCAACTGGTTCTTCAGGTGATTCCGAATTTCCGACAGACAGACAGACAGAC